CGGAGGCCATGTTTCTGTGATGGCTGCTTCAAAAGATGAGTCAGGAAGATGCCGGGAAGGCACCCTGCTGAAAAAGGAATCTCTGCATATGAGGCCGAGCCCATGGGCTATCCAGACATGAAGAGACTGCTACTTTACACAACAGGGGTCCCCAACAGCAAGTAGTGGGGATTGGCTGGGGTCTTGACAACACAGCAGACAGTAACAGGGATATCAGAGTATAAGGACTCTAGTGGGGAAGGAAGGCTATGGGAGGGTGCCATAAGGGAAGTGAGTGTATAGTCGAATAAGATGGTTTGGAATGTTCTGTGATATACCCCCCCACAAAAACAAATTTTAAAAAATGTAGTATATTTGAGGAGGAAGCATGGAAATTTACCTCATGCTAATCAGTAGAGGTGATAAACATTACCATTGAAATCTACCTGTCTTCACAGACATACACAGGCGCCAAGGATCCAAGTGCAACCGATTATGACTAGTAATAATCAGATGCATACAGATTAGAGATGCATGTGCCAACATCTCAGTGTTAGTAGCAAAAACAATGAGTCTTTCTGCAAGGAACAATATATTCTCAAATGAAATGGAGATCTTTTTTAAAGGTTAAAAACTCGTTCTATTTTATGTCTTACTGGGCTTATACTGTGTTCAATATTGTATAACTGTATTAGCTTATCTGTGAACCTAGAAACTTGCACCCAATTGTGAAAGAGATGTACCTCTTTCTCTGGATTGTTTTACTGGATATGTTAAATCTGTAGTGAAATGCTTCTTCTAATCATGTAGTTATTAACAATTAAAAAAATAACGATTAAAAAAATAATAGGAATTAGTAGATGTGAAAAACATTACCATTGAAATCTACCTGAAGACTTTATATCCATGCTCAGATGTCAAGGAGCCCAGAAAGTAACCGACTGTCACTAGTAATAATCAGATATATAGAGATTAGAAACGCATGTGCAAACATCTTAATGTCAGTTGCATTGAAAGTGAATTTCTCTTTATGAACCTGTATTTTAATAATGAAATGGAGTTCTTTTTTAAAGTTTAAAACCTTATTTAATTTTATGTCTTATGAGTTTATACTGAGTACAATATTGTATAACTGTAATAATTCAACTGTAAACCTAAAAATTTATAGCCAATTTTGAAAGAGATGCATCTTAGCTCAGGAAATTGTTATTGAATA